GTATTATCCACCCGCTCCTGGGCTGACAAAACAGAAGGTTAAGCGTCAGAGCTGGTAGCCATCAGAGCCGAGCCTCTAAAACAAGCAACATTGTACCTGAGAGGTAGAATAACACAGTGGCTAAGAAAGGAGAGTCCAAATGCAGTGTGGAACTGACCTGGGTTGGAAGCCTAGTTCCATCCTCTGACTATTTTCACAAATGCAAAATATGACTAACAAAATTATCTATCCCATAGGGTTATTGTGAATATGCACAATGTGGAAGGTAAATACTTCGTATGTGTCAGTGCCAAATTTTTATTCCAGCAACTTGACAAAGTCATCCATCTCTGTTTCAGGTTGCAAGAGCACATGAACCATCCCTATTAACAGCTTTCTCATTTTTCCTGTGAAGTCTTCAAAGGAGTTTCTGCACTCAGAGGCAGGAATGGTGTGCTGGTTAAAAGCACGGCCTCTGGGATTTGTATCCCAGAGAGTCCATTTACTAGCTGTGTGACTCCTTTGCCCCATTTTAGGTTCTTCATCTGTAAAATGAGGATGATGAGAAAAAGTATTACCCTTACTCTTAGAGGGTTATATGAGGATTAAACCAGTCAATACACGAAAAATGCACAGTACAGTGCCTGGAATATAGTGAACGTACAGAAAATGTTAGTCATTACAATTCTCCCCATAGGTGATATATTCCAAATTTTTAGGACACAGGGAACAACAAAATTATAGTTGACCCTTGAACAGCATGGGTTTGAACTGCATAAATCTACTTATACGTGGATTTTTTTTTTTTACAGCACAACTATAAATATATTTTCTCTTCCTTACGATTTTAATTTTCTTTTCTCTGGCTTACTTTATTATATAAAACATTATATAATACATATAAAAATATGTGTTAATCAACTGTTTATGTTACTGGTAAGGCTTCTGTTCAACAGAAAGCTATCAGTAACGTTTTGGAGGAGTTATACGCTGATTGGCTATGGGGTGTGGGGGGTCAGCACCCCTAACCCCTGTGTTTCTCAAGAGTCAAGTGTATTTGAGAACACTATAATGTTAGAGCTGGAAGGACTCTTAGGAATTATTTCCAGTTCAACATTCTCACTCAATAGAGTCCCCAGGGAAGACCACAGCTGGCTACCTGGTCTGACCAGCATTTAAACGCAGGCCTCCTGATTCCCATCCAGTGCTCAAAGCACACCACCATACTTCCTGTTCTTTTAGTCTCTCCTCTCTGCAAACCAACAGGCTATCTTCTGGAAAGATTTGGGAAGAAATCTTAACTCATGAAGATTTTCAGGAACCCTGCTTCAGGTAGCACATTTTGGGGAGCTGGGGTAGGTGGGCTATAATTTATTTCCCAAGAATCTGTACCCAAGAGACACAAAAAACAAAAGTTTGAAAAATTATTAATTCCTTTCAGGAACAATTAAATATTCTTCCTTGGGAGGGCATAATGATAAATGTTAACTAAATACTCTTTAAGGTTGTAACACGATATGAAGTGCCTATTTTTTCACTTAATCCTCACAACACAGCCCTCCTGCCTCAAGTTGCCCTCCTACACTACATACACAGTGTATGCAATTGCTTGGTTACTTGTCTTGACAGTCTTCAGACTATAAGCTGAAAAAAGACAGGGATCTCAATGATCAGGCATACCATTCATTTCTTCTTCCAACACTATTCCTGAGCATGAATGAGACCGAAATGGTCCTGGCTTACTGCAGCAGACTATACTTGCAATAACCTCTCTCACTCCACATGCTTTTCTTACAAAGTGACCTCAGCATTCCTTCCATGGGGGTCCTTCCCCTTGAACATGCCCTTACAGTGGAAGCGATGCTACGTGATTTTGTAAGGCTAGATGACAAAAATGCAACACATTTCCACCTTTTTCTCTTGGGGCAGGCACTCTTAGAATCCAGCTGTCATACTGTGAGGAAGCCCACATGGAGACCATGAAGAAAGACCACATGGAGAAGCAACCTGCTCAGCTGAGGCCCCAGACATGGAACCAAGGGACATACCTTTCCCACTGTGCCTTGTTTGAATTCCTGACCCACAGAATCATGAACATAATAAAATGATTCCTTTACACCACTAAACTTTGGGGTCGTTTATTATGCAGCAATGGCAACTGGAACAACCACACATGACTTAACATCTAACAAGGAATAAAGATACTAAATAGGACAGTAACTGGAACAGAATAAATTATTTGTTGAGGGTCCAAGGTAGTTATTATTATGCCCATTTTGCAGATGAGGAACTGAGCTTTGAGAGGTTAAGCAATTTGCCCTAAGCCTCTAGGATGGTCAATGGCAGAGTAAAATAAAACTCAGATCTACACTCACATTCCTAACACCATATTCTGTCTCCCTTGGTACTTATAATTTTGTGCTAAATATACAGTAATCTGTTTTAAAATGGGATTGTCAGTACTGAAAACATTCTGGCCCAGTAGAATTCACCATGCAGTTTCATCACTGAGATGGAAACCTACATATCACCTTCTCAGAGAAGCCTTCTTTGGCTTCTAGCTCATGTAATGCTGGCTCCCTTACCCTCCCCAGCCATCCTACTCCATCACAGTTTCATTTTGTTTATGGCACTTATCCCTAGCTGAAATTTTCTTGCTTTTTAATTTGTTCTTGTTCATGTGTCCACTCTCTGTACCTCTGACTTGAATATAAACTCTGTGAGAACAGGCACCTTCTCTGTCCTGTCCACTGCTATATCCCTAGGGCCTAGGGCAGTGCCTGGAATATGGTAGGTGATCAAAAATTATTTGCTGGAGTGACCACATTCAGGCACACTGAATGTCCACCCAACTCATCACCTACCAATAAACACGCAAATAGGGAGGACATAGAAAAAGAATTTAAAACAGCAGGACTGCATCAGAATCATTCCATCCAGTAAGGTCAGTACAAAAAAATGGAAGAAAGGAATCCATGCTACCACTCTTCCACTTAGAAAAAGCACAAACCCTGAGTTCAAAAGATGTAGAGAAGGGGATGGAGTAGGGGGTCATACCTCCTATCCCCCATTCATAACCATTATCCCCTCACTCCTCAAAAAAATTCAGTTTCTTCAGACACACTGACTGAAGCACACCAAGGACAACTGTTAGGTACCCTCTAACATCATACCTTCTGCCCTTCATCTGGCCTTTCTTTATATACCAGTCACACCTTCCTGGTATGCAGGTCCTATTCTCCTCAAGACCTGTACAGAGGAGGCAATAACCCAGCTCTTCAGGGAAGAGGTAAGGAGGGGGAATCTCAGAGCCAGGGAAAGGATCTCTGCATATGCAGGTGTCCAGAGACCCTATTTCTCCCAGAAGAGAAGGTAATTGAATGTTCCTGAAGACTTACCAAGTGCTAGGCACCTATGCTGGACTCTTAAACATGCTTTCCCTAATTTAAGGGTGATTCCTTACTCCCAACCCAAGAATTTAGGGAGGCCTCCAGCACAACTTCCTCATCTCAACATTCCCCCGACCCGCTACTCCCTACCCCCAAGAAATACTCAAAATCCAGGAGCGGTTAGGGAGGATAAAAAGAAATCTGGCGTGGCCTAAGAGATAGAACGGGAGGGGAATCGTGTTAGTACAAGAAGAGGGCTATACTGGGCTGGGCCCGGTATGAGTAAAGATTAAGATAAGAAGTTGGTCTGACCCTTTCCAAGCCCAATATGTCCAGCAGAAGAGGTGACGAGAAGCAGGAAACTGAAGCCCAGCAAACAGGTGGCCCTGAGATGAGACCGCAGCTCCATGGTGGTAGATGCACGGGGCCACTGGGCTGAGCAGACGGAGGACGGCCAGAGCCCTAGCACAAAGTCCGCGCCGTTCCCCAAGTGCGGCTCAGCCCAACCCCTCGCGTTCCCAGATTTTTTCCCCCACCCCGGTAACCCTGGAGGAAGTGATGTTAGACGGATGTGGGTGGTGCCTCCGGGGTCCGGTTTGAGGTGGAGTAAGTTTAAAGGTGCAGATCACGTAGAAGGGTGCGGGAATTGCTCTCCAGCGCAAGCTGCTTCCCTTGGATTCTGGGCGTTCAATCGGAAGGCCGAGATGGAAAAGGTGGATGAGATAGCGGGGGTAGGGGGTGGGGAGAGGCCTCCGGAGAACCGTTGCTGGTTGCGTCTGCCTGCAAGCGAGCCCCTCCCTGCAAGAACCGCTGCACTTAATATTCACAACGCAAATTATTGATCGGTGAAGTAAGCGGCTCCCAACAGTGGACGCGTCGCCATTGGCCTCCCCTTTCTTGCTCCGCAAATAAAAAAAGACTGGACAACCAGATTTCATTCTTAAGTTCCTTCCGGGGCCACGAGGAGACCTGGCAAACCTGTTCTGCAGTGCATGGTCTCGAGCCTTACAAGAATGCCCTCTTCCTGCTGGAGAAGCAGCGCTGGACCTTATTTTTCCTTGCAGCAGCAGTTCTTCCACTCAGGGATGATGCAACCAACTGATGCAAGCTCCGAGAAAACCGAACTTCGGATCTTACTGCAAAACTGACCTAGTTCTTCAGGGAACCAGGACAAAAGTCACTGCAGGCATTTAAAGCGTAAAGCTTCTTCTGGTTAAATCTACTTGCCTTGTTTTTAAACTTTGTGGGTTGAATATTTCTTTCTCATTTTTTTTTCTTTAAACAACATAACAGGTCAAAATTTCCCGTCTCCTCTCTGAGTGGAGACTAGATGAGTCTCCATACTAATGAGTCCGCACTAGTTGAGTCCGACAGTGCGGAGTTAATGCTTAGTGAAAGACACGCGACAAAAGTACACAACCAAACAAAAATACACACCTTTTTTTATTAGGATCCCTACAAATTTGTAGGCACAGACACAATGGAATTCTCGGGAGACTGCAAGCTCCAGAATGCAGTGCGGCCACCTGCACCTGCCACATTTCTATTGGGAGGCGCAGAGCAGGCTGGGTTTTGTAGTTCGTATATGCGTTCCCCGCGATAGGCTGCTCTGGTGAGAGAGAGAGGCGGAGCCGGTTGTGTCACGTGGGCCCCGCTCCCGCCGCCGCTGCTGCCGTCGTCTTTCTCTGTCTCGACTGAGGCAGCCATCTTGCTCTTGCCGCGTGCTGTTGTTGGAGGACCCTCCCTGCTTCAGGTGAGACCCCCGGCGGTCCCGCCACTCCACGGCCATAGGCCGCTGCGCACGGTCTCCCCCCGCCCTCTTCTACCGACACCCGCCAACCACTCGGGCTGCCACTTCCGCCGTGGCGCGCCGAGTGGGGGCGGAGGCGGCTGGTTTGGCTTGTCGGTTACCGGCGGCGCAGCTGGGGGTCGGCACCTGAGGGAAGGTCCCCATCACCACCGCTTCCTGTGGGGGCCAGCGGGGACCCGCGCTGTTGCCGCCCAGATTCAGTCCCAGGAGGCGCGTGATCCCCCGCCTCTCTCCTGTTACTCTACTTTATTCACAACAACAGTGCTTTGACAACAGCCTATCTGTTGTCATCTCATTTGATCTTCCCACTCTACAGATAGGGAAACTGAGGTTAGCAGCCTCCGGCCCCAAGCGCTTGGGACTGAATTCTGTTGCAGCTCTCCTCACCTCGTAATGGCAGTATTTGTTTACAGTTCTGCTTCCCTCCCTGAGAAATTGCCTTGACTCTCTCGGCCCCATCACACTGCCTGATGCATAGTAGGCTGTCAGGAAATTGACCGATGGGCACCCTGTTACACAGCTAGTGAATGGCGGTTTCAACTTCCGTTCCCACATTCTTTCACTTACACCATAGCTGTCCCCTCGGGAGTGGTAACAATAGTACCAGTTTTTGCGTATCTACTGTGAGCCATACCCTGTACTTGATAACTTAACCTTTAACCCTTAAAACAACCGTATGAGTTGTGTGGTGATAAACCTTTTCTAATACAGAAGGAACACAAGTTCAGAAAGTAAAATACCTTTCTGAAGTCCTAAGTGGTAGAACCTTGATCCTTCTGATTCCAAAACTTGTGCCTCTCTTAGAGAAATCCCACATAATAAAAAGTTGGGACTAAAGGTTGAAATTATTTTATCTGTGTGTAAACATGGTGAAAGTGCCTACTGTAATACTTGGAACTTAGGCACTCAATAAATACTAATTATAACCTAATTATTTACATCTTTCTTGAGTCCTCGAGTAAAGGACTAAGCTATCCTAGGATCCCCAAGGAAGAATTCAGTAATTTATGTTCTTAGGAAGTTACTTCTCCCTTTTGTACCCTCATTTCCAAATTTATTAAATTAGGAGGGAGGTGAACTATTTTGTTTGTTTATAATTTATTTATACCCTGCTGTTGCTTGCAGGTATTTGAGATGGCCTCACATACAAAACAAATAATGGGTACAATGAAGTAAAGGTTATTGAGGAATAGGGAATTAAATCAGGTGATCTTTGAGGTCTAGGCCAGATTCGAGCTTGGCATCTCATCTCCCATAGACTGAGTCCAATCCTCTTTACTACTTCAATTCCACACACCCCAACCTGTTAGTAGACAAAGGACCACCTTTCTTCCTCTCCTCCCCACCCCCCTTGAGTTTATAACCTCCCTGAAATGCTTTTTCTCTGAGATAATTCTTGGGAACAAGTTTTCTGTTGTACTGATTACATAGAATGGAATCTGTTCTTTCATCTACACATTGATATAAAGAGTTAATTTTGTTTTTGCTTTTGTTTGGAACAAGTCAAGGCTCTTCATCTTGACTTCAATTTCTTGTCTTCCATCTCTTCTCTTGGGATTGTTACTTCAAAATGTAGAAGAGTTCCAGAAGGTTTACCCTGTGTCTAGTTCTAGTATTTTCACTTAGCCCATTTTTTGTAAAAAAAAAATTTAGGTTCTTGTTAGTTCACTATACTTTCATGGCCATGTTCCTTTGGGAAAAGTGAATATTGATCCTTTTCTGTGGATATTGAGTATAGACATTGGGATTTGCATCAGCAAATTTAAGTCTATGGCTGAGTTGTGATTGGTACACACCTAAGCCTTCTGGCTTTGTATTCCTCCTGTAAAGGAATGTTTTTAGCTGCTGAGCATCGTGATACAGTGCTGGGCAAAGATTGAGGAATCATAAATTCTGAATGTTATTTGGGAACTGGACTTTAGCCTTGAAACATATATATATGGGTTAGTGCTAAAGTACAGTGTCAAAATACAGAATAGTTAGTACTTATTTAATCTTTGATTCTCTTTCATTTCTCAAAGACATAATCTTTTTCATGTGAATGATAATTATAAAGAGGTTAGAGAATTGGTCATAAAAGTTTTGTTAACAGCTTTTATTCCCTCATATCTTAGTAATGGTCTGTTGGTCCACAGAACAAGTAAAAGAAGACTTTTGACCTTGGCTTATTATTTTTTTTAAAAGATTTTTATTTATTTATTTGAGAGAGAGAGAGCATGAGCAAGGGAGAAGCAGACTCCCCGCTGAGCAGGGAGCCCGATGCGTGGCTCCATCCAGGGACTCTGGGGTCATGACCTGACCTAAAGGCAGATGCTTAACCAGCCTAGTCACCCAGGTGCCCCTTAACCTTGGCTTTTATTTGTTTATATAATGTGGAATGTTAAAACCCATTATAAACGTAAGAACTTTTTTCTGGTAGGAATATCACTGATCAGATTAGGATTTATGACTTTACAATTTTCTTAAAATTTTCAAAATCAAAACTCGCCTTAAAAAGCTTACTTTTAAGAATCTCCTCCCCCCCCAAACACACACAAAAATTTAGAATTAATGTAGCAGAGATGTTTTTATCAAATTGTGCAGTGAAGCATTTTACCATGTATGCAAAAATATCTTGACAAGTGTGACATACTATATCAGTGCAAGATATTGAATGAACTCTGTGGAAAGGGCTGCTAAAGTGCTGAATGTCTGAAAATCTGGCTCTCTTTTCCTGTTACTAATGTACCATCTGACCTCGAATAGAAGATATGACTGCCTCATATCTTGACAGCTAGAGAGCCTATTGTTGAATTTCTTCTTTGTCCAGCTTTTTTGGGGGGGGGGGGCTTCTATTTATGGTTACAAGGTTATATATAGTTTGTTTATGATTTGGGAGAAAAAAGTCTACTTAAAGGTTGTGTTAATAACATTTGGTAACTGCTCTCTGCTGTAAAAATCTTCGGGGGAAAAAAACTGGCTTCTCTAGAGATTTTATAATTGGGTAGGTTTTACTGAATGCCAAAGAACTGAATTTTGATGTGGGTTTTGTTTTTTTGGGGGGGTTTTGTGTGTGTGTGTGTGTGTGTGTGTGTGTTTTAAGATTTTATTCATTTATTTGAGAGAGAGCATGAACATGGGGGAGGGGCAAAGGGAGAGGGGAGAAGCAGGTTTCCCGCTGAGCAGGGAGCCTGATGTGGGCCTCCGTCCCAGGACCCTGGGATCTTGACCTGAGCTGAAGGCAGACGCTTAACTGACTGAGCCACCCAGGCGCCCCGTGAATTTTTTTTTTAAGGTTTCTTTTTTTTTTTTTTTGAGATTTTATTTATTTGAGAGAGAGAATGAGATAGAGAGCATGAGAGGGGAGAGGGTCAGAGTGAGAAGCAGACTCCCCGCTGAGCAGGGAGCCTGATGCGGGACTCAATCCCGGGACTCCAGGATCATGACCTGAGCTGAAAGCAGTTGCTTAACCAACTGAGCCACCCAGGCGCCCCCGTGAATTTTGTTTTTAAGGAGGGATCTTCAAATAGGTAACTTTGAGTCCCATTCTGTTTTTTTTTTTTAAAGGTGTTTTTATTTTTTTTATTTTTTTAAGATTTTATTTATTTATTTGACAGAGACAGAGATAGCAAGAGTAGAAACACAAGCAGCGGGAGTGGGAGAGGGAGAGCAAGCTTCCCTCAGAGGAGGGAGCCCAATGTGGGACTCGACCCCAGGACCCTGGGATCATGACCCGAGCTGAAGGCAGACGCTTAACGACTGAGCCACCCAGGCACCCCCCATTCTATTTTCTGTTCGTATATTTAACTCCCTTTTGGTCTTACACTTAATTTTGGTTCTCTTAATATCTGGTTTATGAAGCTAGAACAAGTTATTAATATTTATTAAGAATATATAGACAGTATTAATATGATCATGGTGGTGATGAATATTGCAAACCTAATGAACAGAAGGTACTGTTGCATAAACAGTTATTTTATTTTGGTAAAACGGTAACTTTAACAAATCTATTTTTCCCCCCTAGATTTACCAACAGCATGAATCAAGAAAAGTTAGCCAAACTTCAGGCTCAGGTCCGGATAGGGGGCAAGGTGAGTGTGGCATAAGAAAAATTGAGAGGAGAATGTATTATTACCAGATAGTAGTAGTATTTTGGATTTGTGGTCATTGGAAATCTAAAATCTTTTCAATAATCAAGATCAAACCACATTTCAATTTGAAAATAACTTGTCTAGATTTAAAATAGGTAACTAGAAAACTTCTTTGTCTGGTGGTACAATGGAAATAGCCACTTTTGTTTGAATTCTCTTAACATCTGGTAGTTATGTGACATGAACAAGTTATCTGACCTTGTTAGGCTTCCATCTTCCCATCTGCAAAATAGAAATAATCCTGCATAAGATGCTTCTGAGGATTAGAGTAATACTTATAAAACATCTAACATGGTGTGGGCACAGAGTAGATACTTAATAAATGATAGCTATTATGTTAGACTCATTTGCAGGGCATCCCAGATGTTGAGTTTACCTCATCTTGACTGGATACACCTACTTCTACAGTTAGGTTTATTAGGTTTAACTGGAAATGCTCAAGCTGATTGTACGTTTTGTTCATTGCTAGGTTTTCCTCCCAAATTCCTGCCTATTCTTCTATGTTGGTCAATATGTGCACAAACATTCTTATTCCGTGTACTTTGAAGCCTAAGGAAAAGCTCATTCTGAGAATCTTTGATTCCCTGCAGCTCTAGCCCCCAGCTCAAGGAGAATACTCTGCCTTTATCTCTGCCCAGTACAATCTTTGTAAAAGGAAAAGTGAAAATAGTACTCAGCTCAGACCTGGGAAGGGAGTAGGTAGGATGCTATGTAGCAGCTCTCCTTTTCATTTACTTTGATGATAACCACAGCTCCTAGGGATGGAGATAGAAGGGGAAGGGAAGAAGTGACTCATACTTTCTCCTTCCATAGCAATACAGTTATAGGACTCTGGAGTCATATTAACACATTCATGTAACCAAAGTGGTCACATTGTAACATCAAGTATAATGTAATATACCAATGCAAAAACTAGGGATATTCAGGAACCATAGAATATACCTGGAAGAGCTTGAGTCAGCACATCACTATTATATATTTTAAACCAGGTGGTTGGCACATTCATTCATTTAACTAGTTTACTGTGCACCTACTATGTGCCAAGCACATAGTAGATAACCAAGATTTTCTTCTCTTGACACAGCTTAGCGTGGAAGAGAAACATGCTCACAATTACACTACAGAATAATAAATGTTAAAATGAAGTACAAGGTGCTCTTGCCTAGGAGGGGCAAGGACATCATCACTGAGCTGAGATTTGGAGAACAAACGAATTTATCAATAAGTAGAAAGGTGAGAGTAAGTGGGTAGAGTGAAAAGGGGATCATCATTCTTACACATGCTAAGGCATGCTGTGATAGCATGGTGCTTAACAGAATGGCTTGCTTTAGTTTGGTACAGTTAGAGTTTAGACTATATAATGGATAAAGAATGGTAGGAGATGAAACAACCAGGTAATTTGGGGTTGTATATGCCGTACTAAGGAGTACAGGATTTTATCCTATAGGCAAGGGGCAACTATTGAAGGATTTTAAGAACAGTCATTTTAGAAAAGTAGGTGCTGGCAACATGGAAAATGGAATGAAATGGAAGTTTGGCATAGAGGAGAACAATTGAGAGGCTGCTGCTGAAGTATATGGAACACAAATTTAGGAGTTGGAATGACATAACTCATATGAAAAGGAAAAAGGAGTCTAGGATGACCCCCGGATTTCTGGTTTTAAAGACTAGGTATATGGTAATACCACCAGCTATAAAACTTAGGAAATATAGGAAGAATAGTTTGATGGACTGATCAGCTTTTAGACATGTTGAATTTGAGGTACTCAGCTGAGGATCATTTCATTTGAGGCATACAGCGAGCAGTTAAGCTATCCCTGAGTCAGGAACACTTCACAGATAAATGACCATCTATGAAAGTAGTCACCCCTAATCCATCCTTCAGCAACTGGGTTTTGTCACAACCTCTGCTGCTACTCACAGAAGTCTCTTCCACTCCCACCAGCATTGCTGAGACTGAAGCCCCTACCTACTCTCTATAGAGCTGATTCCCTGAGTACTGCAGTAATTACCCAGAGATGGAAACCTCTCTTCCTTTCCTCCTGCCATGTCTCAGAAAGATTTAGCCCTCAAGACAGGCTTCTTTTGGTAATGTTTTATTTCTGCTTTAGGTTATATTTTTTTAATTGGCCCAGGAATTTAATCCATTATTTTAAATAGTTTTTCAGTGGAAATATATATTTAGAGTTTCAAAGTAACCATTTAGAAATGAGCTATTTCTATCTCAGTGAATAGTATAATTGTCAAACTATTTGCTCAGGCCAATATTCTAAGCATCATTCTAGATTCCTTTTTTCCTCATTTCCCACGTCCAATCCATCAGCATGTTGATTCTTCTGACAGTCTAAGCTCTCACCGTCTCCACTGCCAGAATTCTCCTCTCTCATCGACTACTGCAGTAGCTTCCTGATTGATCTCATTATCGTTCATTTTCCACAGCAACATCAGTCATCTGTAAAAATCATAAATGAGATCAAATCATTCCCATGCTTAAAACCTTTGTATTGCAGCTAGAATAAAATCCAACTCCTGCCCGTGGCATTCTAGGCTATGTGATTTGGCCCTTGCCTATCTTTCTGAATGCATTTTCCTCCTTCCCGTTTGCTCACTCTGCCAAAACCATGACTGACCTGCTTTCTCTCTGTAGAAACAGTAGGTTCACTCTTGTTTTATTCTGCTTGGATCACTCTTCCCCTAGATCTTCCTATGGGTCTCAGCTCATAATGTCACCTCTTCAGAGGGCCTTCCCTGAACATTCTAATAAAGTAGTGCTCTGCCCCCACCCAATAAATACTCTTAGTACTATGTTGGGTTTTTTTTCCCTTAATACCCTTATCCCATTTGAAAGGATCTAATTTGTTTATATATTTATTGACTTTTCCATCCCACTATAATGTATGCTCCTTGAACTAAGAACTTGATTTTTTTCATTCCTAGGAATGTAGAACACTCAGTTGTAGGCATTTGATTCTTAATTATGTCAGAATCTTCAATGTTTCAGAATATCTTTAGATTTAACTTTATTGTCAGGGATTGGTGGGTACTATAAAAAGCATTCCTTGTAATGTTTGGAAGTTGTCATAAAACACAATTGTATTTTATTTTTTATTAAAAAAGTTTTGAAACAACATATTGAAATGATAAATGGATACTGGAAAAAGAACTGACTAGAACTGGCCCTCAAAAATCTGGGTTAGGCTGACAATCACAACTCTGAGCGGTCTTCTTAGTCATTACTATTAAGTCAGCGATTTCTTATGTGGTTTTTAATTAGAGTATTGTGAATAGGAAGACATGTGACTGCAGTTGCCAGATGCTAGGCATCCTAACACTTCTGTTTGGTTATTTTTCAGGGTACAGCTCGCAGAAAGAAGAAGGTGGTACATAGAACAGCTACAGCTGATGACAAAAAACTTCAGAGTTCTCTAAAAAAACTGGCTGTGAATAATATAGCTGGTATTGAAGAGGTATGATCATTTTATAAATTGTTAAATTATGTGGACAAATAGCACATTCACAAATACACTTTTCAAATGTAAAATATCAGCTTAGAAGAATCAGATATTGTCAGTCACGTGTCTTTGAAGGACTAGTTGTTGAATTTGCTTATTGTATAAAAATGGATGATTGTAAAAAAATGATTTTAGTTGACAGATAAGGAATTCGTCATACTTTTCTGACTCAAAGTATTTGGCATATGTGACAAAATTATGGAACTGCTCTTGAATTTTCATGCAAAATAAGATTTTTTTTCTAATAATATAGAAATAAACTCCAAGATTTCTTCAAATAAGGTGGATTTTTTTTTCCCTTTCTACTCAATCTCTTTATTACCTCAGCCAAGAAGCTCTAGCAATAGCTTTACTTGGATTGGTTTTCTTATTAGACCTTTTCCAGAAATTATTGGTTAAATTTTTTAAATCATCTTAATAAATTTTGGTGATACTGCTTTTCTCAAATATGAAGCCAAAGACTAGTGTTATTTCAAAAGATACTCAAGAAAAATGGTAACATCAGCTATTTATGATCTGTTACCATCTAGATTCACGTCTACCTAATAATTCCATTTCTAATAGTAACCAATGTTTAAATTTTCACTACTATAAATTAAATTGAATGTTTAAGTTAAATTGTACTTAATGATATCATTACTGTGTGTGGTACCACCTCACGATTTTTAACAGATCATTAATGCATATGTGCTATAAAACAGATCAGAAATAATGTGGAGGCAAGGATCACTAATAAATAGCAGAGTACCAAAGAAAAGGCAGTGAAATGGCCACACATTCCTTCTACTGTGCATATATGAATAAATATTAACACATCATTTAAATCTGCTTTGTACTTTCAAAATTAGTATAGTGATAAAATAGAAAATGTAAGACACATGTATCTTTTCTTCCTTTTAGCTTGATGTGCCTGTGCATTCTTACTCTGATAAAGATTAGAACTTCATTTGCAAGTCTTGAAATTAAACATTTTATATGCCTTTTTTTCTTTTGAGCTATTGAAAAACTTTCATGTATTTTTATTGACCTAAAATAATTCTCAGAGAGATCATTCTCTTTATCTGGGGTATATATGAGGGAAAAAAATCTAAACCTCTCTTAAAATCCAAAGCTTTGGGGTGCCTGGGTGGCTCAGATGGTTAAGTGTCTGCCTTCAGCTCAGGTCATGATCTTGGGGTCCTGGGATCGAGCCCCGCGTGGGGAAATCCCTGCTCAGCGGGGAGCCTGCTTCTCCAACTCCCTCCCCCTCTGCCTGCCACTCCGCCTGCTTGTACTTTCTCTGTCAAATAAAAAGTAAAAAAACTGAAAAAAAAAAAATCCAAAGCTTGGTTTAAAAAAAAAAAAGTAGGAATAATGGACAATAACTGATAATGTTAAACCTAAACAACTTATAAGTGTTCTGGCAATCTTACATCTTTGCATACATTTCTCTCTCTGACTCCGCCCCCCGCCTCGTGCCCTGCCATCTCAGCACTATTGACATTTTGAACCAGCTAGTTCTTTATTGTGAGAACTGCCCTGTGTATTATAGGATGTTTAAGCAGCTTCCCTGACCTCTACCCACTAGATACCAATAGCCCCACTTACCACCCCCCCCCAGTTATGACATCCAAAATGTCCTCAGACTTTGTCACATGCCCCCTAGGGGACAAAGTCACCCTTGGTTGAAAAACACCCTTTTAGAGAGAGGAAAAGATTCTATTTATACCTCCTTGAAGTGTAGATTTAACTATGTAATATCTCCAAGGGCATGTTTTTCTAAATGTTTGTTTTTGTTCAGATTTGGGACACTTTATGGTTCTTATAATTAATAAAACTTTTTGTGGTCAGATAGCATTAATTTTATAAATGTTTTATAATAAAATAAACAAATCAGTTAACAGTCTTTGATCTTTTCAGAATACAGCCAAACGTGTTAATGCAGTGCTGAGGTGAAGATATTTTTGTAGTTGAAATTGTTCTAATAAAGTAATGATAGTCAACACTTAGTGGACATCTAATGTGTGCCAAGCATTTTGCCAAGGACTTGCTAGATAGTAGTTTATAAGTTATTCACAGTCTCTGTCCTTTGGAGCTTACAGTCTAGTAGGGAAACTAATTAGATAACAGACAAATATGTATTATCCCATTTCAGATTCAACTGACTCTCTTTGAGTCAGTTGTTACTGGTTACAGAGAAGAAAACTGAGACAGAATTAGGTACCTGCCCAAGATCACTTAGCTAGTAAGTGCTGGATTCTGAGTGTTAAAACCAGAGTTCATTCTGTTCATCAATTTATCCTGCTTTTGGTCATTTCATTTGCACTTTCTTATATCCTCTCTTGGCCTTTTCCTCTCCTCCTGCTCCCCCCCTTATCCCTCAACACCCCATCAAAGAAAGAAAGTATCTGCCTTATACCTTGTATTATTGAACACCTACCATGCAGAATGCATTAGTTACACTATTACATATAAAAGAAAATCCCTATAAGTATTTCCGAGGACATTGATGTTTCTCTTTTTTCAGGTCTTAATGCAGGCATTATTTCTCCCAGAAGCCTTCCTGGTAGCACACTTACACATTTGTATAAAGAAAGGTCAGATGCCTTTCCTATATGCCTTCATAATGTCCTGTATTTACTTTTATTACAGCATTTATTAAACTGTGATGTGAATTCCTTTTTGTTGCTACTACTGATGGCAGTTCTAACTTTTTGAGGAGTCGTAGCTCCAAAACGTTGCACAGAAAATTAATGCTACAGGGGCACCTGGATGGCCCAGTCGGTTAAACGTCTGACTTCGGCCCCTGGATCGTGATCTCAGAGTCGTGGGATCATGCTTAGCGAGGAGTCTGCTTGCCCCTTCCCCTGCTCCTTCTGTCTCTCTCCCCCCCGCAATAAATAAATCTTAAAAAAAAAAAAAGGAAAGAAATTAGTGCTACCTAATAAACACATACACGCTCTCATTGCACCCAACCCTGGTGATGTCTTCCAGCCCTCACAGACTATACAGAGAAAATGTACATAAAGATAATTAACAATGCAAGGTAACAGCTGTAAAATTTCTGAATATTTGAAGCTAAGATGGAAAGGAGTTTACTTTTTTCCTTCTTTCCCTCTTTTTAAAGTTGTTTTTTTGAGAGCTCTAAGATATTTGTACTTTATGTAACACTTTGCAGATTTTGTGTAGGAATATCTAGTATACTATATATAACCTGGCTTGCCTCAAACATTATGTTTGTGTTACTAAGTTTAAAGTTGACTTTTTTTCAAAAATTTTTTAAAGAAAATGACACACACTTGGTTTAAAAACAGCTCTTTGGAAGGAGAAAAGAAACTACTGCATTAAATGTAAACATGAAAACATATGTACAGAAGTTTTCAGAAACTAAGATGTGAAAAAATATATCTTAGAATAGAAGAAACACATTAATTATAATTTTGTTATTTTTTATTTGGAATGTTTGAAACTTTTTTCAAAGTGCTAAACTCTGGGGTACCTGGCTGGCTCAGTCAGTAGAGCAGGGGACTCTTGATCTGGGGTTATGAGTTTGAGCCCCACATTGGGTATGGAGTTTACTTAAAAAGAAAAAAAGTCCTGACCTCTAAGGAATTTTTAAATTCCTGTTTTTCAGGAATTTAAGAAAAGCAGATAAAAACTTTCAAAAAGAGAAGACATCATTGCCATTGTTGTAAAACAAAAAATAATATTACAATGTTTTCCGTACTTAGACCTTCAAAACATCAAACAAGTAGAAAGTACTCAGTTTGGTGGGTGGGGAACAGGGAGATCAGTGGTGGCTTCCAAAAATTCACGGAATGTACTTCTGCCAAGAAAAGTTCTAATCTTACTTTCTAAGCTGTTGGTTTTGGCGATTTTTTTCTCCCTCCCGAAGCTTAATTTATATCCTCTTTAGAAACTTTAAAAACTGAAGGACTGTTTGGATTAAGACAAGCTTCTCTGTTCTTTTATGTATTCATTAGTTTGTTGATTTGGTGTAATAAATTAGTCATAGATTTCTTTCACATGTTACCAAAGACGGAGAAATCCAAAGCTGTCAAAAAGTAAGGGGTATGGGAGTGTCAGAGACTGTTTCATACAAAAGCCTAGGTTTTAGGAGGTCATTCCTAGGCAGATGCCAAGAGATTTATAATCCAGAACTAAGTTTCTAAAAATGTTTTATATTCTGCGACATTTGAAGGTATTTGGGTGAGCTTATTTGGTAATCTAGTTGAATATAGTGACTATGCTGTCACCTGTTTTTACCTGATAACATAAATCTGTCAACAATGGGATCTGTTCCATTTCCCAGAAATGATTGATTTTATCAGATTTATTTGGTAGTAAATGTCATCAAAAATCTGAATCTCTGATCCAGATGGCCTAGTTGCTTCATAGAGTTTTATGTTCAGAGGACATCTTCTGTTGTAACTAGGATATAATTCTGCCTCTGTTGAAACTTTTCCTTTATTTCCAGGCCTAATTAATTAATCAACCCTTTCTCTGTACTTCTACTGCCCTTAGCTTAAATTGCTCTGCTATAATACATTTATTAATGACAGCCTCATATTGTGGCATATAATGGTTACTTATTAACCAACTAGTCTTTTTTTCAGATTATAAGAGACTTGATAGCAGGGACCGTGTTTATTCATTTATAGTCTGTAGCATGCTGACTCCCATGATGAGTTTGTTTGGGGCCTATTAAGTTCTTAAGGGATACTGATTATTTGAGATGGAGTTGTTCTCAAGAAGTTAGTCATTGGGGTGCCTGGCTGGCTCATTCAGTGGAGCAGCAACTCTTGATGTCAGGATTGTGAGTTGGGCATAGAGATTACTTATAAAAAAAAAAAGTTAGCCATAGGATGCTGGAGCTCAGGAAAACACTTAGGGCTGAGAATAAAAATATTGTAATTGTACACATAAATATTACTGTTTATATTTTCTTCCTCCTGGTCACACTTGTACCAGAAGGA